GATCCCCCTTTACCGTCCTCACAATATCATCTACATATCTTAGGAACGCTTTGACATTTTCTGTTGGTTTTTCTTGATCTCGCTGCTCTTTACATCTCTTACAATACCAAACCATTTCTGAGATTTGCTCATATTCTTTGTCGGATACATTACTACACTTTAAATGGTACCAATTTAAACAAGCTTCGCATTCGATCCCTTTACTTCTGTATGTTACCCTCCGCTCGCAATCAGGGCATAGGCCATTCCGGTTTTCATTTAGCTGTGTCATCGCAGGTACTTCCTTCATTAATGCATATTCGTACTCCTTTAGCCATAAATTGGCAAGAATGACAGCAAGGGATGCACCCATTGCCAACCCATCCTTTTGTACGTACCATAAACCATTGCATTTGAAGTGCACCTTACTTACAGCCATGTTCAACAATTTCTTCATAGTTCCGCGTGCCAGTTTAGGAGGACTAGTTTGTTCGTACAGTTTCCTCAGTGCTATATCTATTGCCTCTTTTAGTGGGACATTAGTGTACAAACTTTTGACATCCAGGGAGATAATACTCTCATTATAGTCTAGATCTATGTTCTCTATGATCTCCCGAGCCATTTGTGTGTTTGTCTCAATGTTTGCCCCCTCAATGTTGTCAAAAAATTTGGCCAAAGTTTTATTTAGATGTTCATATTAGCTCCCTGGCAGTGACAGTACGGGACGGAGAGGGGTTCCTTTCTTATGTACTTTAGCCAATCCATATAATCGAGCTGGCTGCCCTCCCGTGGACCTAAGCCTACTATACAGTGCCTCATCGATCTCATCTTTCTTTTTCATGGCCAACAGTTCTTTGTTGATGTCTTTCTCAATTTTCATAACAATACTATCAGTTAAACCTGGTTTTTCGCTAAATTGTTCCGATTGCAGCAGCTCAGTTAGTTTAGCCTCATATGTCGTTTTCTTCATTACACAGATGCCAACACCTTTATCGAATGGGACTGCCAAGAGACCATTGTCCTTCAAATACTTCCTGGCTTTCTCAATCCCTCTATCCGACGGTGTTTGCCGCACACGTTTAGCGTATGATTTTACAGCAGCTTCAATTTCACATAATTTTTCACCTGGTACCCTTTGCGATTTAAGCTCAGATAAAAAATTATCAATGTCCGCAAGAAAGTGAAGTTCATTGAAACGATCCCTCACCGGGTGCTTTGGGCCAAAACCTAACACTTCATGAACCCACTTGGGTAGCTCAATGCCATCTAGTGCTCTGACCGATTTGTCGTTCACTTTCATTAACGGTCTGTCCTGCCGCTCTGCTAGCTTTTTTAACTTCTTTTCATGTCTATCCTTGATGTCATGGATAGCAATTCTAGCCTGGAGCTTTAGATAAAATGCTATTGAGGGCCACCATTGTTCATCTATCCCTCTCCGCACTACCTCTCTTGCCTTAGCTAGATCATCGTCTATCTTCTTCTCTTCTGACCTTGCCTGATTTATCTCTGTTCTTAGGAGTTTTAATTGAAAGCTATGCACCGCTTGGTCCGAAAAAACCCATTTTCTGGCACCCGAAATCTCAAAAAATCTGGTATTATGTCATTGCTTTGACATTTCCGTAAAAACTTCAATCGATGGAAATTGTTGTTTAATTTATTTGAATACTTCAGGTAATTCAAAACTAATTTCCAAGTTTGTTTTTTCCTGAGTATCCATCTCAGCATCGGTGGGGGCAAAACTACGGCGGTCATTATCCTGCAGGCCACGAGCACTTAAACTCAAGCGGCTCTCAGCTGGATAATTCACACAGTAGATTCACTTACCCAATCCGCGCCCTTTCAGCCGATGGTAGAGAGACGTCAGTCGTTGTTTCCTCTCTGCGTGCCTTCGCCTTGCGTCGTCCTTGTGATGGTTTCTGAGTCCGCGCTCTTATCTTTGAGAATATCCCGGGCAAGTTCTCTCTATGTGTCAGCACAACTCGCAATGACTTCAACTCAAATTCGCTCGATTGATGAACTTCCAGGTATTGTCTCACCAAAGCGGGATCCTGCCTCTTGTCTCTCGAGATCAATTTCGTTGTTGGGACTATTAAGATCCCTGTACGCATCAGAGAATCAAAGATATCTGTCGTTCTGGTTCTTCTGCAATATATAATCGCCTTAAACCGATGTCGCTTTGATTGCAAATACGAAATTAAATCGTCCAGAGGATAAAGCGTGTTGGCATTGGTTCGGTGTTTCGACAAACTGTTATTCAATACGTCGTGCCAAAGAATTATCTCCTTGTCCACCAGAGGATGCTCTTCCAGAAGAGTCTGTAAATTTTGTCTCTTCCTCACGGTATGAGGATTCACAGCGATAATCCCGATTCAGCGTATACCAGTTCGTCCAGTTCCGCTTTCTCTGCTGGTCGTAAGGTATTCAAGCTATGAAATAGAGAGCTTGCAGCTACAACCCATGCCATTTTAACTCAAATGTAAGAAAACTCATTGTTAAGATGAGAAAAAAATAATAAAAATTAAGACTTTTCTGAGAAAAATAAAAATGATCTGAAAATTTTTTGTTTGTATTTTTACAACAAATTTTTTATTCTATCATTCACTCTTCACCGAGGTTATTTTTTTTCCAAAATTTAAGAAAAAGTAGAATAAGAATTTTTTTAAAATTGTTAATTCAAACGTTTTCGCACATTTTGTGCATCGTCAGGATAAAATTTTTTATTTACAATAAAATGATCAAAGATCATGTATGAAATTCAAAAAGAACATGTTAGACATTTTTAACCAATCACACTCTTACATCTGTTATTACGTAATCATTATTTCATCGATTATGACAATTTCCATACTTTTTTGTTACTTGAGTCATAATTTTTCGATTTGATGTTTTATCCAAACTGACATGTCAGTTTATTTTTTCAAAAATTGCAATTTTAGTCATGTTTAAATAAACATGTACTATAATTTTAATGTCAGCTCCCTGCTCCTGAACTCCTCGCGCGTGTTAATTCTGGGGCGTTCTTTCCAAATATGTAAGGCCTCCAGAGTGAGGAGTTTCTGGAGGCCTTACATATTTGGCCTCCAGAAACTCCTCACTCTGGAGGCCTTACATATTTGGAAAGAACGACCCAGAATTAACACGCGCGAGGAGTTCAGGAGCAGGGAGCTGACATAAAAATTATAGTGGGTAGCAAACTTGACAATAATTGGGGAATTAAGTTTGGTTCAATAAGTTCTAATCGAACAATTGTTACCTCTATCAGATCAAATAAGGTCGTTCTGATCTTTTTTTTCTGATATTTTCAGTTGTCGCGAGATACTTGAGCATGACATGTCCAATTCGAATTTTTGAAAAATTACGTTTCACCCCAAAATTACGTAGTTCGTATTCCTCAAGGTCAAACTTCCAAATATGACCGACTGGCACAAATGTTACATTGTTTCATGAAAATAAATGTTGCAAAAAGTTGAAACAGACAGATTCAAAAACTGAAGTAACAAACATGAAATCGAAAGTTTACATAATGAAGTTTTTGATGTAATCTCATTTCGAAGTCGACCAGGAACATTAAGAGCAAGATTTTTTGCGTAGCATATCTGCAATCTGAGTCAAATGTCCCGATTTTTTGTGGTGGATTCTTCAGGAGATTTGGCGGACCCATTGTCTTTTTTTATAATCCTTTACCAATCATTTTTGATCGAGTTGATGTCGGGGCTATAAGAAGGCCACTCGAGAAAAGGAATTCTGCTTTTTTTATTGTCAAGCTTTCTGTAAAGATTTTATTGTCACATTTGCGACATGGGGCGAATCATCAATCTGTTGAAAAACACAAGTCCGTCTAGGGGGACTTAGCATGTTCACCATGGGTAGCAACACTATGGGAGGTCTTCTTCCGTATATTGCTCGTCCATTGTAGAGTAGAAGGTTTCGATAAAACTAAAACCAAAAAACGAACTACAGTCTTAGACGGTGACATTTCAGCAACTGTTTTTGAGTAGTAACTAGAATTCGGGTTTCTGATTTTACCTTGAATGCTTCCAAAATGTTGTTTCAGCTTTTTTTCGCGCTTTGTATTTTAACGACCATTTTGTCCGAGAAAATAACACGGACTCGAAATCTGAATAGCGGGTTATAGAGGAAATCCTTTCACTTTGTTTTGGGCTGTAAAAATTAAATTGTTTGGGAAGCTCTCCCACAACGAAACCCTACTAAAATCGGGAGGAACTTGCGTTTTATTTTCTTTTTTTTTCAAACTCTTGAGGCAAAATCAAGTACCACAAATACTGATCAGACATGTTTGAGTGATATATCATATTATTATTATTATTATTATATTGGATTTAGTGATAAATCACAAGGGGTTTCCCCCAAAGGTATTTCTGTTAAAAACGAGTCTACAGTTGTTTCGATTGCAGTCACAAAAGGTAACCCAGGAGCAAGAATTGCTTTCATTGTAAAACGCATGGAAGTATTCCCAGAACCATTTCAACAAGTCTGATTTCAGGGTGGAGGAGAAAATATCAATGTCATCAGGTAAGCGATTTGCTGTTCTAGTAGCTTGGAACCAAAAATTTTGCTCACATAAACTTTTCAAGGGCCTAATGCTGGTAAAACTGACTATAGGACCATATTGAAGTCCTTACATTTGTAATTTAAATGAGATTCAAAAATTTTTTTAAAAAAAATTCCCGAGTGTCGAGAAAAACCGGTGTGACATTTTTGATTTTTCGTGTTATCTCAAATTACTTGAAAATGACTAAATGTCGAGATCTTTGTTTATTTTGTTTTTGTTTTATTTATATTGTGTCGCAAGATAAAGAAGCTCTGCAATTTTCCCAGTTAAAATCAAAAGCGAATCTAACTTCGACTTATCGTTATTTGTTATTTCGCTGGTCTTTCATTTTTTTTGGCTGGGCCGTACGATGAAGGACGAGTGATGTAACTTCAGTCACCATTAGTATTTTTGACTTTCTATTCATTGTTATGAAGAAGAAAAAGGTCAGCGTAATGATATATGTTTTCAGGTAAAGCTTGTAGTTAGAATATTTGTTGGCGCATAATGGGTGTCAGAGAGCGTGCAAGACTTGTTCAATCAGAACCTCCGGAAGTTATCGAGTATGTTTTTTTTTATTTTTCCTGTGCTGATGGTTTTATTTTCAAAACAAAAAAGAATAACTTTGAGGCTGTCTTATGTTGTTGAGATCAAAGTTGCTGAATTTTGGACGTTCTAGGCTGGGTTTTAATTTATCAACCTATTTGTAAGGCCTAGCTAAAATTTTGATTCTCGATTTCAAATTTGCCACTGAATTTCTCCTTTTCAATCGTTTTTAAACTGTTTCCTTAAGCCCCACCCACTGCAGGACCTTCAAGCTCAATTTAAGCAACTTGGATCTTTTTAGATATAATTAATGCAATTAAATTTGTTCAAGGGTTTCTTCAATCTCCAGCTATTCATCTCAGGAGTCGCTCAACTCAAATAGTAATAAAAAAAATGAGCTGGACAAGCAAAAGGCAGCTAGAAGGAATTTGCGAGGGTGGCTTCGAAAGAGCAAGAGGGCAACAGCTCCTACTGCTGAGTCTCATATGAAAGCTTCTAGTTTCAAAAATAGCAGAAGAGCGGGAAGACTGAAGGGTTGGTCGTTTCATTTACTATGTTCAAGATTATATATGAATCAGCCTAAAAGAGGTATAAACATTTTCTTTATCATGTAGATGAAGTTTAATACTTTCCGTTTTGAACGGCATATTGTGTGCTGGTATCAATTTCTGGACCTATAAGGTGTTAATGGGGTGTACAAAAGAATCTTAAGCGTTCACGGGGAATTAAACTAGGAAAAATTGGTTGTGCTTAGGTCAATTGTCCTGTCTAGCAGAAGTGACCGAGGAAGCAGAGCACGGGGGAGAGGCCAAGCCATTAGACATATACTCTTTTGTAGACTCAACTGCATCTGCTTTCACATCTGTAGTCTCAGACCAAAAATTACTTCAGGTAAATTTGGCAAACTAATGTATAAAATGAGAGGTTTAATTCAAGTTTAGTTTTAAGAACTAATGTATAAAATGAGAGGTTTAATTCAAGTTTAGTTTTAAGGTCCTGAATTGTTGTTCTGCTAATATCAAGTTCATATTGGAAAAAATTCTGTTAACACCTCAAAGCTCACGAACGTTTTCGATAAGCATTTTAGCATTTTAGGACGTATGTAACCAGCATTGAGTAAAACACTAAAAAAATAGGACTTATAATAATTGTTCTCCAGGATTGGCATGAGAAACTGCAACATGCCGTTCAGCAGAAAATGTTAGACGAAGAGGAGGAGTCGTTTGATTTCTGCACAGACTTCGTCACTAGCTCAGGTTCTTATTTGCTCACCTCTATTATGATACGGCTTTTTCATTAAATATCTGTTCGTTGCTCTAGAACACAATCTGGAATTGAACCCAGAGTTGTGCTATAGACGAATTGGCAAATCTGCGAGGACTCAGTTGCGAATGCCTCACAAGCATCATGTAAGCATCATTTTTTTTGCGTGATGATAGCTTGTGTGATAGTATGAACTCTCTTTTTTTCTAACCTAAGTCGCAAATATTGTTGTGACGCAAATATTGTTGCGACAAAATGTGTTCATATATAAAATGTTCATTTTGATCAATAACCAGCTATTAATTACAGCCAAGCCTAAGGATATTAACATAGACTATTATATTATAAATAGCATTTTAGCTTCAAGGTATCATAGATCTGTAGCGTAGTGGTAGGGAAGGAGACCCGCAACAGAATAAGAGGGTTCGAACCTGGGCTGGGTCGGATGTTTTAAATGAACATTTTCGTATAGTAGGTAAAGTTCGTCCGCTCGATAAATTGAGGCAAGTTAGTTGGTAATTTTTTTTTTCAAATTTACTGCTAATGCGTCATAATTGGCGTGCGTCACTTGAAATTTTGTAGACTCAGAGTTTGACTCGTTCAGTTTTTCTAGAAGCGTTATCGGTCATACTTTTGCTTTTGTATGTTGTTGTTGTTGTTGCCCTTCTGAGATCTATTCGTCGCTCGTTGTTGGGTCCAGGGTTGTGGGGAGTTTCAGGAATATTGCTGTCTTCTTCGGTTGCTTCCAGAGATCGGCTGGGGTTAAGTTCGTAGGATTTGCGATGCAGTCGAACAGGTGTATAGTTGTGTGGCTTGTTTGCTGGCAGTCCGGGCAAAGTTCGCTTACTGTCGGGTCAATTCTGTTCATGTACGAGTTCAGGAACTTTGAGTAGCCGGATCTGAGCTGTGCCAGTGTTCTTCTTGTTGTTCTTGGTAATTCGGTTTCTTCTTTGGCAATTTTTGGTGGATTGTGTCCAAGGACTGCTGGGTATTCGTAGGTTTGTAAGGCGTCGCGTACCTCATTTATGTGGATCGTTTTTAGCAGGTTTCTGTACTTCTTTTCGGTTAGAGGTCTATTGCTGTCGAGTAGAGGTTCAATGTATCTTTCTTCATATCGTGTTTGGAGGGTTTCTTTCATGAGTCTTGGTGGGTTCTTGGGTTCTTTCGTGAGTTGGTTTCCTGGGTGATCTGGCAAGTGGTTGGCGAGATGATGTTGTATCGTTCGCATTCTGAGGTGTCGTCTAACTGGTAGAACGGATGTTTCTTGGTGAAGGTGGTCTATGTGAGTCATGGCGTGGCATCCGGTGATTGTTCTCAGGGCGCTGTTTTGGACCTTCTGTAGTTTCTCGATGTTGCTTTCGGAGAGTGTGGGCGTTACCACAGCGGCGCCGTACTCAAGTTTAGAGCGAACAACGGCTTTGTAGGTCATGAGGAGTGTTTCCTTGTCGCTTCCCCAGTCAGTGCCGGCAAGCGCTTTCAGGGCGTTGTTGCGTTGAGAGCATTTCTTCGCAGTGTCTCTGCAATGGGCCCCGAAAGTGTGCATGGTGTCGAAAGTGATGCCGAGGATCTTCGCTTGGTTGTTCATTCTTATTTGTTCATTGTTTATCTTCACTTCAGGAACGGTTTTGTATTGGGCTGTCTGTGGTGTCATCAGCGTGACAAAACTCTTGTCAATGGAGATCTGGAGGTTTCGCTCTTCGAAGAAGTTCACTAGTTCTGCGAGGTACTCCGTTTGTTTTCCTGCCATTGCTGGTATGTCGGTGCCGAGAATGAGGGACGTGAAGTCGTCTGCGTAGGACTTGATCTCGATTTCGTCCGGAGGGCTAGGTGCGTCTGCGACGTAGTAGTTGAAAAGGAGTGGCGACAAAACTGATCCTTGTGGCACTCCAAACCGAACTATCCGTGCTTTTGAGAGAGAGTCGCGAAACAGTGTTCTTGCTTGTCGTCCTTGTAGGAAGTTCGCGAGCCATCTTTTCAGAGCATTGGGCAGACTGGTCTTGTTGATGAGGTCGAGGAGCTTGGAATGCTTAACCGTGTCGAAGGCTTTCGACAGGTCAATCGCGACAAGCAGAGTCCTGTCGGCTGGTTTCTTTCTGTTGAAGCCGTTGGAGATGGCTGTCGTGATGTCACAAAGAGCGGTGACCGTTGAGTGCTTGGACCGGAAGCCGTGTTGGTGACTGGCGAAGTGGAGGTGTTCGGTGATGAGAGGTTGGATGCACTTCTCCAGGATCTTCGAGGCTGCTTGTGTATGTGAAGTGCAACTTCGCGTCTGTGGAAACAATCGAAATATTTCCGTTCACAAAGTTTTGTCTGGAAATTTTTCTGGAAAATCACCAATATTAAGCTCTTTTAAATTGGAATCAATCAGACTAGGCTGCTAGAGATAGCCAATACTTAGTTATTGATTTTGCTTTAGACCATTTTTTCATCTGATATGACAAATATACGAGCTGTGACTACACGACGGAGCGCAGAGTGATAGTACGAGGCAACTTTTTTTTCCAACCTAAGCCACAAATAAAAGTTTTTTTTTGAAGCAGTAGGCTGCATTAGCCTTATATAACCATGTGCTTTAACATTTGATCACTAATAAGTTAACTCAGTTGATGCTTTGTTAATTCACCAATTGAGCCAAAACAAGCTATTTGTTTCATTCAACAGCATAATAATTAAAATCTCGTTTCAGAATTTTCCCACTCAATATATTTCACGAGATTTTTGAAATGCTTTATTGATTTACACTAGTGACTTTGCGAGCGTACCGTTGTAGTACGAACCTTCTTTTTTTCTTAACTGGCTCGCAAATAAAAATGTTCAGTTATTTGGTGACACTTTTGCTATAATCACGATTTGTAGCATTGGAAATTTCATGGCATCTGTTCCTGCTTTATTCTTGGCCAGTGTTTGTGATTTTTTAAGCGTCCGTAGCTGAGTGGTTATTGCGTGAGACTCATTATCTTTTGGTCGGAGATCGAATCCGAGACATAGTTCGTGGCTTACTGATTCGAGGCTTATTTCTACTTTTTTGTGCCTTTTATAGAGCTGCTTTTTGTCGTGTTCTGGCTAGTGTTTGCAAAGCGAATTTTTGCATCTGTGTCGCAGTTTGGTGTAATACATTTCAAGTTATCTCGAGCAAAGTAGGGTGGCTGCCTTAAGTTAATTTCATTCCAAATTATTACATGCAAACATGGACTTTTTGTGGATTCTAAAGCTACCGAATCTTTGCCGCTTTCTAGCTCGTGTTTGCGAAGTTGCAGCTTAGCATCTGTGTTGAGAGTGATGAACGCCAAGAATAGTCTTTTACATATCTTGGTGGTTTTTTGTTTATTCCTTTATAAAGATCACGCTCAAATTTGAGGTTTCGCGGTTTGGTTTCGTTTTAAGTTCACTTCATTTTTGTTAAAAAGAAGGTGACTCCACAGTAAAAGTGTAAATATCACGTGTAGATTGTGATCGACTTATAAGTTCGAAAACGGATTTTAATTTTTGGAATTCGCTGCGGAATAAAAAATTTACGTTTTGATCCAGTTATCTTAAATTGGATTAATTTTTATCTAAAAACTGTCAGTAATAAATTTTTCCTGAAACCCGAAATTTCATGTTTTTTTTCATAAAAAACAAGTCAGATTTTCCTGTTTTCTCAAGTTCATTGACGTCAATGAACTTGAGAAAACAGGAAAATCTGACTTGTTTTTTATGAAAAAAAAACATGAAATTTCGGGTACTGACAGTTTTTAGATAAAAATTAATCCAATTTAAGATAACTGTAATTTTCGAGTAATTTTTCTGCCGAAATTTCTGATTTCCGTCTTTTTTATTTTCATTATCTTGCATTTGTATCGCAAGTGTAGCGAAGCTCCTCTTCACCTCCGTGTAAACAATTTGTTCATTTCTTGAAAACAAATTGATATATTATTTCGATTTTTAATTGATAATTTTAGACGGGTTTTAAAAGTTTGGTCAGAAAGAAGTTGATGCGTTGAGAAAGATATTCAACCTCTGAAGAGTTTTTGTAAGGTTATGACGGTTCAAAATAGCCGATTTGGCTCATGATAATTATCACGCGATATATTCCATCCTATTAACGCGTTAGTGGCAAGTTCATACATCTCAGAAATCATTACAAATTGATTTTAGGCCTGCAAATGGTTCTAATTGATATGATAATTTATGCGAGACATCACTTTGAACTTGACATTGGATGTGAGGGGATGATTTTTGAAAAAAGAAGATTATTTTCTTTTGATATATTTATTTCAACAAAAGCTACACTGAACAGTTTAAGCAGAGTCGAATCATTCAGGGCTTCGCCCCGGTACGAGCACTTGTATTTCTAGGAAGCGTTGGTGAGTATTGAGCAGGAGCTGGTGGACTGGTTCTCTGCCTTCCCAGACTCAGTCATGATCAAGTGCATGCACTCGGGGTGAGTTACAATCAAACGAAACTTAATCTAGTTTTCATATCCCAATATACCAACTCGGTCAACAAAGGTGTTGCAAATCATTTTGTGAATATATGATGCCACAACTGTTTTGAAAAAAGGAATGTATATAGGTTTCATTACTCATTGCTTTAAACTACTGCATGACTCCTAACCCCGGTGAATTCACCGACAATACTCGTCATGATCGTGGTTTTAACTTGGGTATTTTTGTATGTAGGTACGAAAGACTTCTGTTCCACTCTGTATGTCGCTACATGCACCTCTCATCATACAGTGGTTAGCTCACAACAATTTGTACCAGACTTTCAGTTTTCGTATTTTTTGCTTTTCTGAAATAAACTGCAAAATTAGGGAACCGATAACAAACTGAACTTGTTGAGATTATTAAAAGCTTAGAAACACTATGAAATCAATGCCAGAATTATTGTCATTTTATGCTTTAAAATTAGCGTAGAAGTCGCATAATACGCGTTAACTATGTGAGATGTTAACTAAGTTCCGATAGGCTGAATATATTTCAGTGGCGAATGGAGAAATGAAATCGGTGAATAGTTCTGGAGCACGCAAGACTTACGTGCAAAACAACCTAGACACCTTCCATCCGCCTAAACTGTTGCTCTCAGAGTACCTCCCTAAAATCAGTGGATTAGTCATCAAAGATGAAACCACGGAAAAGGGAGAGAAGGACTCGTAGCAAAGCACCCAAGTATTGGGCCCTAGAAAACTGATTGGTATAATAAACTCATGTTGGTGTAGCACCACTTAAACTTCAAGTTAAACGCACTCCACTCCTTAGCTAAACATATAAATTCTGTGAATATAATGCACTAAGTAATATGAATCAATATTAGTTATTGAAACCGCTTGTGAGCAATCAATGTCTGTTTAGTTCATTCTCGAAATTAACCCTAAATTAGATCAAATGCCCTGCTTCAATTGATTGATTTAAAATCCTTCGATTTATGTTGGTGCCATTTGTGAGTTTTAAACTTGATCTCACTTTAATATTATGAACTTCAAATCACATGTCTCGTAAAAACTTGTTCAAGTCGATTGAAAACGAAGTTGGTTTATTCACGTCAGTTATTGTTTGAGTTTACATAATTTTGACGTCTTGCTCTAAAACGTGTTCGGTCTATTGTGGAAATATACAAGACCAATAATATTGAGATGTGCCAGATGAACTTGGTTATTTTCAAAATGGTAATAGATTAGCGTAGTTTTAGTTTCTTTAAAGCATGTTTTGGTGATAACTAACGTACTATAAATATAAAATAATGATGATAAAAGCACTGAATAATGGCAATACATAATTGATATTTTGCTGTGCAAATAAAATAGTTCAACATCCATTCAATTTTAAAGAATTCCTTAGCTTTTATTTGTTACAAAATCCATGCAGAAGAGGCATCTGGAGGACAGCGAAAGCCCCGCAGTTTTGCAGTAAATTCTTAAGCAAAGCAGATTTGTTTTTGTGGACAACAGGAATTCTCCGATGAATCTTGAAAGACATTTTTTCTGAAGGCCAATTTTGGTCGAAGCGCTTCTGCAAAAATGAACGATAAACATGAAAATGATAATTGACGAAGATTGAGAAAATTATTGAATTAACTGGCAGAAATCCCAGGAAATTGAATATTTTTGCCTACCAATTAACTGACTTTACCAACCCTGGTGGTAGCTAGGCGAGTATCCGATGTTTTATTTCGCACATGAATGGCTATATATTGTTCCGTTGTTGCAATGATTTTCAGTTCTGGGCAATGTCATTAAAATCTCTTGAAATCTAGGGTTTTAAAACAATTTGAGACTGTACTTCATCGTATAATTCAATGATCAAATAAGTAATTGAATTGCGCTTCCACAGAACTCAGCACGACTGCTTGTAACAGGGCGACGCCGTAATTGTTGCGACTGCCCTTTAACGTAGATAGAGTAGTGCTCAATTGCAAAAGATAATGATAAAAAGCATCCCCCTATGATACTGCACTAGCACTAACCCTAAATGGTTAATGTTATTACCCTTGCGATGAGCAAGGGTATTGCAATTGGGTACTAGACACTTCCTTTTACCAAAATTGTTCGTTCACAGGATCTCCACTTCTAGAGGATCTTCACTTTTAGAGGATCTTGCATCTAACATATTCAGGTTGCAGTTTCAGGTTGCAATTAAATTCAGTTTTTCGGGTTCCTGGATTTCGTCTTAGTTTCTGTCGGTTAATATTTAGATTAAACGCCATTTTTTTAAAATCTTTTAGGGTTTTATTGGTTGCTTTTATAAAGCAAGGGTTTTGTTCCAATATGAACAGTTTTTACTACAATTGAACCTGTTTCGTTTAATGGTATATCGACTCAGTCAATTTATTTTTTGCGTAGTTTCGAGGGTAAAATATATCCGCTTGGGACTTAGTGTTTTACTTTGGATGAGTCGTAAAAACTTGGTCTTGAGATATGATTTTTGTGATTATCAGGTTATAGACAAGTAGCAGGACTAGTCCGCCCAGGTTTATGGAGAAGCTATGAAAATTTTTCTCTCTTTCCTCAGCATCAAGTGTGTTGTTGTGCGTGGTGTAATGGGAAACCTGTTTAAGTTCGTGAAAGACTAATGAGTGAAGCATATATGACAAAAGTTGTTTTCGAAAATTAAAAAAAAACTCAACTTTCTAAAATTTGTCTATCTTTTTCTAAAATATAGTTTTTTTTCTTTTTTTCTAGAAAAAAAAGTTTATTGCGTAGGCAGCTTTTAGTGAAGCTGGTAAAACTATTTTTCTTATTTGAATTTAATTTTTTTTTCAAACCTGATTTTCTTTTTTTGTTACACGAACGTTTTTCTGCTCGATAACTTAACTCGCTAGAAACTAGACTAAAACTCAAAAAACTCTAAGCATATTTTCCTAAGACTGGGGACAATTTTGTAAAAGATGATTTTTGTCAATCGAATCACGACTGAAAAGTCTTCACTATGATAGATTACTCGAACCATTTGATTATTGTTTGGGTTTTATAGTTTTGTATAGAAAACAACAAACGTTATACACACCCAAATAGAAAGTTCCTCCCCATTTTCAATAGTCGGAACAAAAACAACACTCCACAGGAATCGCTTCAAATTTTGATCTATCTTGGTGTTTCTTACACATTCGAGACCATGAGTGTATTTTTAGCAGATCAAGCAATGTGGTTCGAAACAAATTCCAAAACAAATTTCTTTATCATATATTATTACACACGAGAGCCCGCATGTGTTAAAACACCAAAAAAATAAGAAGCAACACTTGGGAAAAGTTCTTTCGTGCATATCAAAGTGTGCGATAAATGTTAAATAGCTTCGGTTAAGGTTTTTGCGTTTTTTCTCGGCATAGGATATAGCTAAACTTTTTTTACATCTCCTCATTAAAAGCTTGATTTTTTTTGTAAGTGAGCCAATTTTGGTCCAACATCATTTTTATGGCAATTTTCTCATCAATGCTTAATGTATTATCAAAATCATGTTTTTATTAGAACACTGATTGATTGATTACACTAGCAAGCTAGCGAGTTGAGTGTGGTGCTATGAGCATTTTTTTAAAACCTAAAAGAAACTCCTTGTTTGGCGGCACATTTAATGCAATTTCATTGGGTACCGTTGGAAGTTTCAATGTATCTGCTCTCTACACTAATGGTGACTAGTGTTTACCAATTGTCAAGCAACCGTTTTGGTACAGTGTGAGTGGCGTGTGACTCCAATCATACATAATAGCTTTTTAAGCTTTTTAGGTTCAGTGGCATTTCTCTTGGCATAGATCATAGCATTGGCAATTCATTAGCATCTATGCCTGATTTTTTAATGGATAGTGTTAAATTTTTTTCCAAAGCACACGGCTCAGATTCAAGAGCGTGAGGCTCATGGTCTTCTGGGCGTAGGATCTAATCCGACACAGGAAAAGTAAGATTTTTTAATCAAAGCTTTTTTCCTTTTCTTATTTGTTTCCCTCTTCCAGTTGCTTTTTTCCTTGCTTTTGTTTGCGAAGCGCAATTTGTTCAAATGGTTTAACAGAATAGTGAAAACGAATTGAGTTTGATAAAAAATGAATGCTCTGATTATGTTATCTTAGCGCAAACTTGATCAAATTGTGAACCCGCAACGAACGGAAAGATTAAATCGACGAGAAAATAAATTAGATAAGCTTTTGAGCTGCGCTGTTTTCTAGCCATTTGTCTGTGGATTTAACTAGATCGGAATCAGCAGACAATTGGGAAATACACAATTGGTCATTGTTATGTAAACTCATCAAGGATTTTTTGCGGATTTTAAATATGCTTCCCTTTTTTACCCCTACTTACTCTTCTTTCACAGATTCTTCAGAAAATGTTCACAGAATTATTTTTCAATAGTTTCATTGATTATTATTCGTCTATCTTTTTCCTGTATCATCTAGTCGATTTTCGTGTATCATCTGAAATAATTTAAAAAAAAACAATTTTATCTCAATTAAACCTTGAAACCCCTCCCTACCGCTTCCCCCTTTATATCCTCTCCCCCCGCCACATGAGAATTTTTTCAAGTAGTTCGTTGTTCACATGTTGCAATTGTTACAAAAATTCGCATGCTGACGAAATAGACCACTAAAACAGAATTGTTCTTCATACTTAACCTGGTAAAACTTCTCGTTAAATCCTTTAATGATGCTTGATTAAGCCGGGGAGAAAGGAAAAATAGCCGGAATTTTAATATAAATAACTGTCACAAAATCAAAATTTGATTTTTCTTTTTTGGGCTTCTTATCAACACGTGCGATAAATCAATCAAAACCGTTTTGAAACCACGCAATGGAAGAAAAACTTGTAAATTGTCAGAAATGTTGATTGTATATCAAAGCAACCAAAAAACAAATTCACATTGCTGCCATTCGACATTCGGAACAGTGAGTTTCAACCAGTTAACTTGCTCTAAATGAACTCTTTTGAATGGTTTCATCAGCTGAATTTATCTATGGTGAGAATTTAATTGCATCGAGGTATAAATTTCCCCCAATTTTTATGCGAATCGTCGTCTTAATTTTTATTAATCCGGAATCAGTAATTCAAATTGATTTAGTTCTGATCTGATTTCTTACGCCTAAAAAAACTTGATATTTTTCAAACTTTATTCAACAGAAGCCAAAATAGTTAGTAACAAACAGGGTTTCAAAAGTTTCAGGGACAGGGTTTTAGTGATGTTAGCGATAAGTTAGTGAACGTAACAAATTTTTCATTCAGTGCTTGGAAGCTGCACAGAATCTTGATATTGGTTGATATACAAAACTACGTTAATAAGTCATGTCATCACCACAAAATTATAGCAGTACTCTAAGAAAAACAACATTTAATTTGTTGAAGATAAAATACTATTGAGAGAGATGCGTTATTCTTAAACTTGTTCGCAGTGAAATATAGAAATTATGAGTGATTAAAGTTGAAATTATTTTTGTTTCGTTGCCTCTTTTAACTCCAGAAGTTTGTATCCGATGTCATACAAAACGAGATCAGAAAGTACTTTATCTTCGCTGAAGCTCTCGAAAACTTGCTTTCGCTCGTTCGCCCGTTTGATGACTTCGCTGACGGTCGCAATAAAATGTTTGTAGCAGTCTCCGTTGGTGGTTGGAAACTTCAATATCACGTATAAAGACAACGCAGCCTCTTTTACACAGCTGCTTAAGGTGTCGCTGTTTTTTGCGGTTTCAAATCTTTTTCTAAAAAACTCCTCCCTGAAAACATTTTGTTGTTCTACGGCTCCCCCGACTGAAAAGTGTTTATACGTGTCAACCATATTTTCCAGCAATAGTTTCACGTGATCTGGCTGACAGTAGAGAAGGTCAAAACGCGGAAGGCCTTCCGTCTCATAATCAACAAAAACTGGCAGCAACTCGCCTGTCTTTGATCCGTTAACCCAATATGGTGTTATGATATCACATACTGCCTTGCAGGCTTTTTCAATTCTGTAATAACATTTCACCCATTTCGGATTCCAATAGAAAGAAGTTACTGCCTTTATAAGACTATGAAGCCAAAACAATAGTTGCGTTCCCATTCTTATATCTATGATATCGTTTAGCAGCATTTCCATATACTTTGACTGGTTAGTGCACACTTTGGACAGGTCTAATCGAAGCACCTTTAACTGATCTAGGGACTCGCTAAACTGGTAGTACTGCTTTGAAAGCTTCCACTCGCTCATATCGTACAATTCGGCAGAATTATCCGACAGTCTTCCCTCATATTCAAAATGTAAATGAGCGAAATCCTTGCAGTCTTTGCCAGAAACTCTGTCATCTTCTTGAACAGTTTTAAACAAATCTATTATCTCATTTCTTGAACAATATATTTTCTCCGATGGTTCAAAATTACTAGCTTTTTGATATCGAAAGAACTCCAGGAGCCGTTGGTGTCTCTCGTCATTAGGAGGAACGCAACAGAAGCTAGTAAAACTGGTATTCAAACGCTGCCCAGCACGCTGAGTTGACCATAGAGACAAAAATCGGCCTGTAAAGAATACCTCGCTCATTGTTCGCTCAATTGATATAACATTTAGCCGCTCAAAACTGGAATCGTTTGACATTTGATTCAAAAAACAGATCATAGTTGGAAACACAAGCACTATCTGGCTATAATTGTATATATACGTTATGTAATTGGGCTTTTTTTCCTTTTCAATCAAACTTGATACTTTGGGAACTTCGCCGACAACATATATGACACTGCTTCCCCGGTCACACAATAGAGATACGACCTCGACTTCAAATAACGGTGCCAACTCAAGCTCTGAGACCCATAATCGAGGAGATGGGCTGGAAAAAAAAACGGTCAGTCATCAGTATTTGATGGTATACTGAAATCATTTCCTAGATGCCTCATAAAAAATTCAATGAACTTGTCATCCTTGTTTTTTGGTTGAAAGAATTTTTTTTCTGAGAATGAGAGAAGTTCTATTTTTTGGTTGTAAACTTATGTATGTGATTGACCTTGTTTTCACAGAATAATAAAGGTCACCAAAATTTGTTCAAATTTTTATAGTTTTTAAAATGTGAGATGGTAATAGTTGATACATTTGTAGTCCGTATGCAAAAATTACACCAGAACATGGAGGTAATAGCGAAACGCAATAAACCGTCCTTCATCTAAAGCAACCAATATTTTATTATGTGCAGTCAGGGGCGGATCTAGGATTTTCTCGAGGGGGGGGGGCGGATTTTCAAAAAAAAAATTCGAAAATTTCGACGACCTTTTTTGTAGGTCGACCAAATTGATTTTTCGAGCTCTCCCAAAGCCCTGTTTTGCCCCTGTTTTGGCTAAATTTTCTGCGCCGCAGGCAAATTTTTGTAAAAACAGTCAAAAAAGCCGTTTTGGGCACTTTTTGAAAATTTTTGACAAAAAAATCGCTTTATTTTTGGCGCGCGCTCCCCCTCAAAGTTAGTATATTTTGGCGCCTAAGGCGCCTTTAGAAAAATTTTAGGGTCCGTCGGCCAAAAATGGATTTCTGAAAAAGTATCAACGGGGGGACCCTATGGGTCGGTAGGGGGTCGAATCCCTAAGAAGGGAAGGTAGATCCGCCCCCTCCCGCCCCCCCTAAATCCGCCCCTTAAAATAACATACAAAATGAATCTTTTGGAACAAGCTAGATTTGAAAATAACGCATCAAGGGTTTAGTCTTTAGAACATATACGAATAACAAAATGCATCATAGACATAATCATAGACATCAATACATTTGAGTTTGACTTCAAAATTTTTTTTGAGTGTATTTGTGTATGTGTGTGTACCAAAAAACTCCAAGCAAAATATCACAAAAGTTTTTGTATATGCAGATGAATACGAGGAGCGTAATGGATGACCATTTTTAATTTGATCAAATAATTGTGGAGAAAAATGGCTAGATTTGGAACTCAGTGACTTCTATAAGATCATTTCATTAGACCGATAGAAAAAATTAAGTGCATCGTTATCGGCTAATTAAATTATTTTCACATTGAAGTAAGGCTCCTTCAAAACTCACGTCAAAAATCCCCTCAAAAGACTCCCTGAAGATCTAATGCACTGAAACTAGACCAACCATTTTGGACTTTGAAAATTTGGAAAATTTTTGCAACGTTTGGTTAAATAGGGGTCTTGTTGACGATAGTTCACGACGATACTTTAAAGTTTTCAGCATAGTTTCAGCATAGGTTACAGTTTTCGGCATAGTTTCAGCTGGATTGAGAACTGTTTTAAAAAATAGGATCATCTAATAAAACAGTTTTTAAGTCAAATTATATCAAATCTTATCGTGTTTTGAAGTTTTTTGAAAAAACTTTCATTTTTTTTGGTAAAAGTTTTAAATTTTTGCCCATATTATCCTTGACTTACCTTGAACCAAAAAAAACATAAGACTTTCATTACACAATCTACACGTAATACTCACTAATTACATAAAGCGTGCTGAGATTTTTGCGAAAAATCTAGACATTTCTACACAAAATCCAAAAAATACCGTTTTTCTTACCATTTTCTTAGCATGACTCTGAAAACTTACCATTCCCTATCTTAATACATTGGGAAACCTATTCCCTATCTTAAAACATGGTAAGATCGGGCGCCAATTTTTTTTTTTCTGAAACTAACCATCTGAAACCTTACCATCTTAATTAGGAAACTTATTTCCTATCTTAATATATTAGGAATCCTGTTCCCTATCCTAATGAGTTCTTAATTGCCTAAATTGAATTTCTTATACACAAGGAAATCTATGAGCAACACTTGAGAAATTCGTGCGCCAAAAAAAAACGTACCATCTGAAACTTACCATCTGAAACCTGCTATCTTAATACATTGGGAAACCTATTCCCTATCTTAATACATTGGGAAATCTATAGCCTAAATTGAAACATAGGGTGCTGACCAGATGCTCTATAGCCTATGTTACAACATGATGATGATGATTGGCTTTACCACTCTTTCTTGAACACAAGGGTGGTAGAAGGCTCACAAAGCCTCACAGAATAAAACAGTTTTCAGGGTTCGTTTAAACAGCGTAAAATCAATAATATCTGTTAAGAGAACAGGCAGTGAGTTCCAAATAACAGCTCCTTGGTAGGCAATGCTCTTTTTGGTAAATTCTGTTCTGCATTTCGGAAGGATAAACTTTTGTCTGCACGAAGGGTTGACAGAAGCAGAATTCTTTTTGAAAAGATTGTATAAATAATCGGCACAGTTCCAATTGTGAAACACGCGAAACATGAAGCAGCATATTTTGAACCTAATTCTTTGGTAAACTGGGAGCCAGTGCAATTTCTTCAGTAACTCGTTTGTTGATGCTGTTCTCCTCGTTTCACCTAAAACAAACCTGGCGGCAGCGTTTTGAACTTTCTGTAGTTTAATAAGTAAAATTTTATTCACTTTCATATATAACGCATTGCAATAGTCAAGCCTTGACAGAATATAGCTAGTAACAAACATTTTTCTTTGCTCTAAAGTCAGAAAACGTCGAATGGAATATAATTTGCGCAATTCTAGATAACATAACTTGCAACAATGGTTTATTTGCTTCTCAAAGGACATGTTGTAATCAAGGTAGAACCCCAAAAGTTTGGTAAAGCATTTAGGAACCTTTTCTTATTGAAACTTTTCACTGGCTTTAAATAATCGTGATGCAGTAGTCTACCGAAAAACACTACTTCTGTTTTTCCATCGTTTTTATTAAGACTTAAGTGCAATTGGGTGCATAATTTTTCAATGTTTTCTAGTTTGTGGTTATTTTGCATGAGATTAATCTCCAAAAACAGTTGAGAATCATCGGCATAAAAGTGGTACGTAATGTTGCTATCAATAAGGTAATCAAGAAGAGGTTGTAAATAAAGGATGAATAAAATCGGCCCCAAAACAGAGCCTTGTGGGACTCCAGTTTCGACCTGAATTTTGTCTGACAGACTACTATTTACCAAAACTTGTACAAAGCGGTTACTAAGATAAGTTTCTAAGAATTGTTCAACTGTGTGCGCAATACCAATTTTGTTTTCAAGAATCTTTAATAACAATGAATGGTCAATTGTATCAAACGCAGCAGAAAAATCCATTTGAACATCGTAAAAACACTTTTCCGAAACAATTGTAGAATATATATAAAGAAAACAGAGCAAGAGACCACTCTCTGTTGAATAACCTTTACGGTAAGCCGACCGAAATTGAGGCCAAAGCCGATTTGAGGTTACATGTTCACTCATCTGTGAAAGTACAAGCTTTTCAGTAATTTTTGACAATGCTGACAAATTAGTAATCGGGCGATAACTTGACATAGTTTCTTGGCTTAAGCCATGTTTTAGAAGTGGTCTGATGACTCCTTGTTTAAAAACATCAGGAAAAACGCCAGATAACAGAATGCAATTAAAAAGATCTGTAAAAAATTGTATATTCTCGGCAGTAAAATCTTTTAAGAACCGAGTAGGAATAATGTCCACAGGTGACTCTGAGGTCCGTAAATCATCTAATACGTCGAGTAGATCTATTGGAAAAATACTAGCGAACTCAGACCATACGACTAGATCATTTGAGGCTACTATTAGTTTTTGGCAGTTCATCAACTATGTCGTTTACCTTTTTCTTAAAGAAAATGTTGAACCTGTTTGCTAGGTCGAAAGTAGATGAGTTCACAGGAAGTGTATCATTCGTGTGATTCATCAGTTCATTAAGGCAATAAAAAATCATTTTCGAGCTCTTAGAAGAAAAATTGAGAGAATAGAAATCATTACGTTTTATCGAAAGTACAGATCTGTAGTAAGCGACTTGTGCTCGGTACGCTTCACGGTTTTCCGGGGTGTCATGTTTCCTAATTTCGCGTTCCAACTTTCGTTTTTTCCTTTTTTCCCTTTCGCATTCGGCATCGTAGTAACGGGGTTTACCATCACGACTGATCTTCTTTTTAACAGTTACAATTTCACTTCTTTTCAGGACAGATGCATCATGAAAGGTATTAAATAACGAGTTAACACTCATTGAAGGACAGTTTGATTGTAAAATAAAATCAGACTTAGCAATTGCAGAAGTCTCAGTTAAAATAGAATTAAAAATAGAAACACGATCAGCTTGATCCCAAAGCCATTTCGCTTTTAAATTGACGTTGGAGGGTGCACTAGTAACTGCAGAAGAATTAATAATCAATGTAACACAGTAATGGTCTGAAGCTAGTGTTCTGTCGAGTGCGTCAAAATTTGTAACCCTGTGTTTGAAGAATATCAAATCTAGTTCATTGCCACCAACGTGAGTAAGGCCAGAACTGTATCGATAAAAACCCATTTCCTCCATAC